CCCATAGATCTGAATGGAATTCATGCACATTAGTATTGTTCTAGCAAAGGGTTTACAGAATAAAACCTTCAAGTCAAAGCAGTCCTGTTGCCACTAGGCATTTCAAAAAGACATGGGCATTTCCTGTTCCTAAAATCAGCTGAAATCACATAGACAAACACCATCCTTAAGCTCAAGGAGAAGAGTCAATTTTTTTCACCATAGGCTAAATATTTTAGATAGTTTTGAAGTTGTGAAACGAATAAAATAATTCAAGTAACAATAAAGAGAAAAACAGATTTATGAGCTTGTTTTTAATGTGTGCGAGTTTCTGCACAAAACTTTCATCTTACATTTACCAGTTAATAGCACCTTATCACCATTACTCCCACCGTAAAAACATTTAGGAATAGGAAGCCTGTTCCAAATTATATTTAAACAAGCATATTGTTATTGAACTATTAATCAGTAGAGCTGTAATGGTTATCTGATTCAACCTGAACTTTCGCATGCTTTCTTGAGATAGTTTTGACATTAAGTCTTCCAAATCTGTCAAAGTCAATAAAAAAGAGCCAGAGCATTTAAAACAGCACAAAGAAAGTTGACCAAAATAAACGTGGCCTATTTTTAACAGAAAGAAGGGGCAGTGTTTTCTTTTTAACAAAAACAAACCATCACACGATAATCTACTGCATCAGACCCCCATTTGCAAGCAGTCATTGGAAAAACGAAGGTGGCATGGAGGAAAATGGGTGACAAAATGTTGTCGAGAAGGAGCTCAGAGGAAGAGCAAGGCCCAGACATACCAAGGGCATTTAATCTCCTTAGGTGACTCATGAAACATCATCATCACTGAGCCAGGATTTCAACTGCTGTGGAAGAAGCTGCGACAGACTAAGGCTGCTACAGAAAATCCACTAGGGAAGCAGTGGCGAGATCCAAGATAAAGCAGCCTCAGCTGTTTCCCCTGCAGCTGGCAGTCCAAGAAATCCTGAGCTCCGAGGCAGGTTTTATGAATCCCGCCACATTTGTGTTGGCGCGAGGAAGGCAGCCCGAGAGGCCAGCTCTGCGGCCTCCCCACAGCCGCTCCACGCCAGAGCTGCAGACCCCTCGCGCTGCTCACCCCCTGCCAGGCTTTGTGGCAGTTCAGCTGGCACAGAGGTCTCCTGCCAGCGGTGCCTCTCCCAGTCCGAGCGGAGCGTTTCCGGATTACAGTCAATGAGCGTCTCAGCGACACCTCCACAGTGCCGTCCAGTTATCACACCAGGTGTCAGCAGCACTCGGCCACCTTGGTGCCACAAAAACTTCAGTTTATCCCCAGAATACTACAGGCAATTCCTCTGTCTGCAAGCGGCAGCCACCCCAGACGCCCCATCAGAGCTCTGTACAACTGTACAACAATTTGGTCCTACCTAGTTACTTTCAAACGTGCAGGCTTGCTGAGAAAGGTCAGCCACACACTTGGCAACAAAAACAGAGCAAGCAGAGGGCTTCTGCACAAGCTGTTCACACCCGCGTAGCTCCTCTTCTGCTCCAGAAATCCCTGTCCTTCACTGCCCCAGTTCTTCGCTCCAGTACAGCCACTGATGCAAACACAGGGTAAATGACCCATCTACAGCACGATCCCACCAACACCTGAACAAAGACAAACATCTTCTACCAGTATCTACTCAAACTAGAACCCAAGTTTTCAGAGAAAGGATTTTCTCTACCAGTCCCAGTACAGTCTCATCCTCAGAGCCAGAAACACTGTTGTGGTTACATTACTGACCAACCTAATATCCATTTCATGTTCCTAAAGCCCAGCTCCTCTTCCTCTCCTGCTTCTAGCCTGCAGTACAAATGGTCAGTGCAGATATAACTTAGTATTTATGTTGTCAACATGCTTAATCCCTTGCCTATCTGAGATGGGGAACCCTTTCACACTATTCTACTATGAATGGACGAAATGACAAAGGAATGTTTGGAGGGGAAGACAAGACACAACGAATCATACCCCATCATTTTTTCATGCACCCAGAAAAGCAAACTAAAATGGCTTACGGACCCAACACTGGTTCTAGTTCATTCAGTCATTCCATCCAGAAAAAAAAATAAAAGGGAAACATAACACACAGTGTGGTGAAACAGCAGGGGTGTTGTCAGTACTTTTCTGACAAGGCTTTCTTGCTTGAATTATTTACAAACTTCCTTACCTAAAGCATATCAATTTCACACAAAGTTTAGTTGAGAAAATGACCATAACCCATCCTGTTTGTTTTAGATAGAGGCCCAGAATAGCCCAGCAGTAAGGCAGCTCCCATTGACAAAGGGAGGACATTTAAAACTCCTTTTCTAAAAATCAGGCAGAGTTGAAACCTATGCAAGGTCCTAATGGCCACACCACAGATGCAGGCTCTGTCTGGCTTCAGACAGGCTCCCACTTAACTGCACACAGACAAGTCTCTGAGCAACAGAACGAGAATCTCAAAGCCAGAGATCTCCTGGCTTTCACACAGTCTCCTGTAGATGCAAGCTGCTACAATGCTGGCGTTGTTGAAAACAAACCACCAGATTTAAAAGGGAAGAAGAAAAAAAATCACTTTAACATAAAAATCCTGTTCTAGCAAAGTATTAAAGCAAACAGGTTTGGAGCTCCTGAAGAGGAGAGGTGCCCGAGCGCAGCTGCACCCCGAGGAGCTGCGCGAGGAGCCGTGGAGCGACACTGACCCCGCGTGGCACCTCGCGGCGGGCACCGCCACTGCCCAAACGTCGCGTCCCCACGGAGCACAAACTACCCCCAAGCCACACACTCTGCAGAGAGAAAGAGGAGCTTCACATGAAACAGCAAAACTGTATCATTTGCCTTTTATATTAGTAGCCACAGAGATCACCTAGTCGATTTCAAGTCACTCGAAAAAGAAGAAAAAGGCAGTCTGAAAGTCCTGCAACTGTTTTTCATACTTCCTCCCTGTTATTGACCTATTCTAAAAAATGTTTTCCCATCATGTATTTTGCAGCATTGCCTATAAATAAGAAATTGGCTAAATAAAGTCTTTCATGCAGTAGAATGTGAAAAGAAAAAGAAAGAGAGTCAGGTTTAAGCTCTCTTCACCGAATCACTACACGGAGATTCCTGTAAACAAAAAGTTTCAAAGCTGACAGTGCTGGTTATATAAGAATTAGCAGTGCTTTTGATGACTTCAAGTGCCAATGCATGAAAATTAACTTTCCCTGCTCTTGCATTTCCCAAGCCAGCAGATGCTGAGGTGCACGACTTTGCACAGGTTCACAAAGAGCACTCACACTGCAAGGATTCGAGGAGCCTGTCCACCTTTGCAGAGCGGAGGGTACTGCTAAGGTTTTCACTGAGGGACAAGTCTGAAAGAGCTGAGGTACAGATCTTGCCCAATAAGAGCAAAATTTGAAAATAAAACTCAAGAAACAGTGTTACAAAACCAATGTGAAAAGAGAAGAAAAGATGCTTGGAGTTCACAGGCTGTGGGATTCCAGGTATGAATGAGGAGAGATCTGGGCTTAACAAAAGCAGAGATTATTATTTATATTTAAAGGGAAATCTCCCTCTGTGATCTCCCACTTGTGCTTCTTTCTAATATTCATATGTCCATAGTAGTACCTAATTTTTCACTGGGATAACACTCTTGTTTTTGTGTTATCATCGTCATAAATAACCTGCCACAGGAACTTAAGGAAAAATTTCTCAACAGTGAGGGTGACAGAGCACTGGAACAGGCTGCCCAGAGAGGTTGTGGAGTCTCCTTCTCTGCAGATCTTCAAAACCTGCTTGGACGCAGTCCTGTGCCACGTGCTCTAGGTGACCCTGCGTGTGCAGGGGGGTTGGACTAGATGACCTCTAGAGGTACCTTCCACCTTAGGCATTCTATGATTCTATGAGTGCTCCTATGACTGAGTGACACCAGAAATCAGTTAGGTAAGCATATTAAACAGCTAACAGTTACACCACAGAAACCACTAGCAGTCCACATCTTTGGAGGCATGAAACTACAGCAGCGATACAGAACTGCTGCTTAATAGTTAAAAATGAGCATCATTTTCAGAAGCGATGCATTAGAATTGTCTTCTTTCAGAAACTGAGCATCTTTTCTATGTTTTGGAGATCTACTGGAAATTTCTCAAATGTTTATAGTAATTATCCATAATGTGAACACTCAGTGGCCCTGCAGTCTCATCAATAAATATTTTTAATTAGTTTTTTTCTGGATTATTTCTGAATCCCTACTAGAACAGCAGCCTCTGCTACAGAGCACAGGGCAGGGACATGTCTTGCTGCAGAAGTTAAAGGGCTGCAGGACAAGTGCAGGGGTGGGAAAGGGCCCCTTTGGAAGAGCAGACACTTTCTCTGCTTGTGCTCTAGTAGGAGGGCTCCAAGAAATGGAAATACTCAGGAATGGGCAGTTCTGAGGTCAGAAGAAACTTGAGATGACAGAAGGCACCTGTGAGATAGAGGATTTGGAGCAGGACTGTGGAGATCAACGGTTGAATTCCTGGGAAAATAAGTTGTTTTGCAGGACAGACTTTTTGAAGGTTAGAGGAAAGAGATGAGGGAAAGACATAGGTGTTTTAGAGTAAAAGGACGAAGGGAAAAATTGCAAAACAGTAGGGCTGAGATTGTAGGTCTGCCTCATAGGGAAAGGAACACACACGAGTGAGCACTGCCCCTCTTGCCCTTCTCTCCTCCCTGTGCTGTCAAAAAGAGCGGCCATAGCTCATGACCACAAGAGAAACTCATCACCTGAAAGAGCAGTAGGTGCCCAAACCTCTCAGCAGCATCCCTTCCCTGTGCAGCAACACATGAGCACAAGTTAACTCTGCCAAACAGCAGAGTCTACAGTTTACAGCTCAGCAGGCATCTTGGCACTTGACACTACAGTTTAAGCCAACCTAGACAGATGTTTTTATAATATTACGATTCAAACATCCATACAGCAAGCAGCATTTTCCATTGTTGTTAGCTAAGGATATGTTTTGGAAATTTAAAATGGGTACCAACAACAGCTTACCTATTTTTTTTTGAATTTTCATCCTTCCCTCTTTTAACTCCAAAAATTCTTGTAATTAGAGCACTAAAAAGAAGAGTAGAAGAATTTCTTACCTAAAGGAAAAAGAAAAGAAGATGAAGATTTAAAAAGATCTTTAAGTTGTACTTACTAACTTTTTAATTTTAAAACGGAGCATAAAAGCAACTAAGTGAAGGACCTCATGTGCTACTGTTCGGAAGCCAGTACACTGAAACTATACATTCAGAAAGTATTTTCTGTTAAGTCAAGATGGCACTAATAGAAAGTGCAGGGGTTTTTGTGCAGATATCTTTTTGTATGCTACAGGAATGTATCCAGATTTCTAACAGATAAAGCATTCACCCTTATCCATGGCAGGTCATGAAACATTACAGCTTACCACTCCATATTTTAATGAATGGTCAAAGTAACAGAAAGAAGAAATATAAATTAATTCTGACTAACTAGACATACTGACTCAAAATCTGTCACAGATATATCTTCATCTGAAAGGTAATCTTTGTCCCTCGTTCTTATCAGTAACGCTTCATACTACAGGAAAAAAATGACCAAAAAAAAAAAGTAAATACCATGACTGAACTTGAGTTTTCTGGGGTCTCCATTATTCTTTATTTTCCGTTAGAATATTACATCACACAACATTCCAACAACTTTGGGACTGTTATTACAAACATTACCAAAGCTCTGCTGAAGAGTACCACTATGCATTCTTTCAAGCTACAGAAATAAAACAAAGGATTAACTTACTGCCCAAACAGGGGACATGAAACCTAGGATTGCTGCCTGTATTCCATCTGCAACATAAGGCATGATGTTTTCACCTAAACGGGTATCCCTGAACAGCGCTCGCAGGATATTTAAAGCATGAACCTGTATGGGGAAGAGAAACAGAAGAAAATACCTATTAACTGCAGAAGACCCTAAATGTAATGCAACTTAATCATAGCAATGAACACGAAACAAAAATAATCTGTATGCGCACTTGCACTTCAAGTCTATATTAAGTATAATCTAGAAATACTGCCATTAAAAATAACATATTGAAATGGTACAGCAGAAACAGTGTTAAAAGTGGTTAATATTTTATAATATACTCTTCTAACAAATACAGTTCAGTCATCACAGTGAAGGCCAACATGCTCCTTTCCTTAAGCTATCATGACTGTAAAAACAACTTTCAGAGTAGATAATAATCTTTCTCAACATTCTTGAGATACTGCTGCAGATACTGTGAGAAAAAAATAACTGCAACTCAAAGGAGGAAAACAATCACCAATTTTAAACTAAAACTGACAGATAGGCTTGCCTCACCAAATGGAGCTTTTTCTTATCTTTATTTATACTCTGCAGGGGAAGGTGGTAATCTGTGTAGCTTCACAGATTTTGATAAGGCTACGTAAATTTATATCAGAAGATGATCTGCCATAGTGGTTGGAACCCAGTTAATTTCTGTTTTTGTAAATGTGAACCATGATTTGTTGCCAACACTTTTCAAGCACTTGGTCATTGAATTCTGAAGATACAAATTTTTACATGTAAAATGCCTATATTTGAGTTTTACATGTTACTTGGTAGGTATAAGATTTTCTTACACTTTTTTTGCATACAATAATCATTTCCATGGTTTATGTAATGCATTTTTATACCTCAAATGTAAACAAATGCTTGCTAATCTCCTTGTATATTTTTAAAACAAATAAATCAGTGAACTTCTACTATGAGTAGTAAATTGATCATACAAATTCAAAATGAATACGACTATTTGTTGCACTAAAAAAAAAAAAAGGTGAAATTATGTCCCTTTTTTTTTTTTTTAATATTGCAAATTCCAGTAACCCCAGTAATGGAAGTAATCTCTGTCAATGCATTTTAAAATGCAGCTATAGATGATAAAAAAAACACTAATAACAACAACAAAAATGTACTTAACTGAAGAAAAACAAACACTTCTTTGACATTTGCCTTTGATTACACATAGTATCTTACCTGTGGAATTACACTTGCTGATTCTTTCAGAGGTGCAGCCAAAGCTAGCAATTCTTTCATTGTCATTTTCAGCAAGTCTGCTTTGCCCTTCTTTGGCTCTGAAGCTAACAAAGCCTACAGAATGTTTAAAAAGAAAAACAATCAAACAAAAAAAATCACATATTTCTAGACATTTTTCTTTACTATCAGTTCTCCTTCAAGTTCCTATAGCTACTGTATTACAGCCTACCTTATGACCATATACAAGAACTAAAAAAAGTTTGAAAAAAGTAAGTTTCAGTTTTGACTCTTCTCGTCTTGTTCATAGCCTCCTCGGGAGTCAATAGTTCAGTAAGAAAACTTGCCCTTTGCACATGAAAACCTATTGGTATATAACAGGTAATAAGTTATGACATTTAACAAAACAGAGAATTTGTTATAGAAAAAAAAATATCTGTTGCATCATGTCTACTTGTATTTCCTATACAGACAATTCTTTGGCTTTATAATATGTACATGTTGGCCATAAGCTAGCCAAAGAATAAATCCTGTTTTGCAAAAAAAATAAATAAAGAAGTGCATAAAAGCAGCAGTTCATTTATAAAAGCAGAGAAATGAAACATCCACCTCTAAACAGTAACAATTCAATGGCTAGGGCACTCAACTGAGATGAAAATACTCTAATTCTATCCTCTAAGATTAAATTCTTATTTCTCTCTGTTAATATCACTAGTTGAATTTGTTCAGCTCTGCAAAAATGGATAATCATAAATTACTTATGTCTAATGAAAAAAAATGATTACCACTTTCAGCTATGTGGTCCAGAGTCTGTTCAGGATATGTTCAAAGGGAGTATTTAACAGTACATTACTTCACAAAAACAACCAAACCGAAAAAGCCTTCAAAGTGCTTAGTCCTGGAGTGTAGATATTAGGCACATATTTGATAGTCGTCCCTGACATTTTAATAATGGCTTTAATGTACAGAGAAAGAAGGGGGAAAACGGGAGAGAGAGAAAAAAAAAAAAAAAAAAGAAAAAAAAGAAAAAACGAGAAACAAAGAAACCCACCAAGATGCCAAACAACCGGGAGAATGAAGTGATTACTAGAATCCCCTACCCTAAAAATGTGAAGGCCATAACCAGCATTTTCCCACCATTTCCTCTGCATCCATTTGTATTATTAGCTAACAATATTACTGTTTAAAACAGGTCATTTAGAATGCTCATAATCTTAAAAATTATGCATAACCATTAAAACAGAAATATTGCACTAAATCAAGAATAAATGTCACAGGAAGCAGATGGCAAAGAGACCACATTGAGTTGTGATTTTATGCATTAATAAAATGACCTTATAAGACTACTACACTGTGCATGAGAGTTTATATTTTTATAATCTAAATGTAACACACTGTTTAAAAGCCAGCACTGCCAAAGAACACCATCACCTTTCCTTAACATAAAATTGTAGTTCAAAAATAATTAGACCAAAAATGATGTAAATTCCAAATGTTTTCATTAAGTGGCTAGAAAAACTTCAAGAACTTTGAGAAATCTCAAAACAGAGGCATCTGTTTATCCAAACAACTATGGCACAGTGCAAGCTCTGCTATAGGTACTTAGTAAAGTTGATCAAGTTCAGACTATACAAATGTTTGCTGAAATAGAAGACTATAGGGTCCATGCAGTCCTTAACATGACCCAGCCTTACGTTTTACATGAAAACCTGACTAAAATATGCTTGTTCTCTCACATACTCAGCATTAAAGCCCACTGGATTAGAACACTAGAGTGTGAATGGGGAAACCAGCAGACATGAACTCACCAAATTCATTTTGCAGAGGCCTTAAGGATCAAAATACCCTTTTATATCTGTAATTGTTGAACTTTAAAAGGAAAAACAGCTTTAAAACCAATGCCCTTCCCATGATCTGCGCTGTGTAGCGCACACATGCACGTGGCCAAGCCAGAACAGCCACAACTGCCTCCCGAGATGCCCAGCAAAGGCAGCTTTCCCCGGGCCAAACGAGGGCGAGAAGCAAACAGCACGGATTCTCCTGGCAGCGCGAGCTCCGCACGCTCTGGGAACACACTGACTGAGGAGAGAAGGTTACAAATCACGCAGTTATCTTGGGCTTGTTTCTTAGAAAATTGGCCAAAAATTAAAATGATGGGGGTTAATTGAGAGGAAGGTGGTCACGACCACCTTAAGAACAAGAGGGAAGAAAAGCAGGTAATTTTATGATTTTGTCATTGTCCCTTCATAACTCAATATACTTTCCTGCTTGTCTTTCCCCTCTCCAAAAGGAAAACAGACGCTTACTCGATAACAAAGCTTACTTAATCAGGGGAGTAATTAATGATTTTGCAGGGATTTTCACAGGAGCCACCCTGAGCTCAGATCTCTGAAATGCCAATTATTGAATCTACCTCCAGCCAAAGATTGAGTAGACTTGCCCAGCAAGACTGCACTAAACAGCTTAATTACTTTGCGGTTGCACAAAAAAAAAAAAAAAAAAGAGGGAAAAAGAAAAAAAAAAACAAAACAAAACAAAAACTACTTGACCAAACAGAGGTAGAAAATAAATAAACATTCAATAGGAAAAATAAATATATAGATATAACTGTATATAGATAGAATCAACTGATACCTGTATGTAGAATGGAATTCCAGCACTACGCCTGGTTGTACATAATTTAGATGAGGGATCACAAGTTTTGATCTCTCCCAAGACATGGCATAACCATTGCTCTGGCATCTTGCGCAGACTCTCACTGTTACATCTATAAAAAGTAAGCAAGAAAGAAGCCAGGTCAAAGTCAAAGTTAAGTAATGGTGAACTTAAAAATATTTTTCAAGTGTTTCTTATCATCTGCAAACAAGCCCAAGCATATACACACAGAGAGAACTTTACAAGAAAAAAGTTTAAAAAGAGATTTTACTTTTTTTTCCCCCAGTGCCTGTACAAACATTAGCCCTGCTTAATAAGTGTCACCAGGAGAAGATACTTCACTAAACAGAAAAATAGAATTCTATCATCCAGCAGCTCACAGTTCCCTTCTGCCAAGAACACCCTTATCCTTCTCTGGAGGCGAGGACATAAAACATGAACACATCAGTTACTGCGTAGGAAGTGACAGTACAAATTCACACCTTTATTGTCCCATAGGCACTAACATACACAACCATGTTTATAACCATACAAAACAACTGAAGCCTCTCACAATAAATATATATTATATAAATACCCCTGCAAGCCTCAGAGCAGCAGAACGAAAAACAAGTACCACCACTCAAAAATCACTTAGTCAAACTTCCAGTAAAGCAGCTAAATCGCTCTCTGGTCATGAACTGTTTCTCCTGTGCAGTCATACAATCCAGCATTACCTGATAGCAAAGGACTCGCAAGGGCAAGCAGAATTCAAGTCTACTTCAAAAGTCCCAGTGTTCATCAAGTTCAATGAAATGCAACATACTCAATGTGAAAGACCAAATCATTAATCTTATGTCAACGCTCCAAAAGGAGTGTTATTTGTTGAAAAAATAAAAAATAAAAAAATCTATTAACACAACTTTGTTATTAAAACCTGGCCTGCTAGTTTGACATACATGATTCAGATTGGCTAAAAATATTAATCACTGTGGTCAATACAATGGCAATTACCTCAGTCATGTAGGATTTCCCCTGCCTAAAAATGTGAGCTATAATTAAATTCATAATTAAGCAGTGAGACCTTAGAGCGAGGTCAGCTTGTTTTTTTACTTGGGAGATTGAAATAAAGGAGCAAGAGTAAAGCTAAAATGCAGCAGGAACAAACTTCAAGACTGAAATATAATGGGAAGTCCACATCTTCTCTGCCTTTCATCATCTTTCCCTCACCCTGCTTCCTTTCTCTCCCAAAATACGAATTTGGGCAGGCTAAAAACTCAACACTGGGCAGTAAGTGAGGTTTTCATCTGTAGTTTAGCTCACTACCATACCTAAACTTCCAAGTCTTGAGAAAACAATCGCCTTCCACCCTCTTATTCCCCTTCCTTCTGTTACAAAATAAACGCAAAACTAGTAATGGAGAAAACAGAGGTCACAGGAAGCACCAGATAGGTCAGGAGAAGCCACGACAGATTTTTTTTTACTCTTTAAAGATATTCCTTGGATTTCTAAAGTGAATTTCTCACTCTGCTGCCAAGTCCTTTCCCATTCTCTATGGGAACCTCTTCAAACAGCGGCCGGCATCTAAACCAGCACTTTGGAAAGCCAGAGGAACAGGGCTGCACGGGAAGGATGTCCCCTAACATTACAACATGAAGGAAGGCCACCTTCACCCAGGCCCAGAAAGCAGCACGCCAGTGCCTTCCCTCTGGAAATGAGCCGCCGCTTTCCCTCCACTCTCCTCTTTCTACAGCTCTCAAGTAGCTCCTGCTTCTCAGCCTTCCTCCAGCTGCCCCAAGGACCGCACAGGCTTTAGGATGCACAAGAGGGACGCGATTCTGGCCCAGAGACCACACCAAACTTGCAGCGAACGCCCCCGCGGCTCTGTCAAGCTAGACTGTACGTTACAGTTCTCTTAATCCAAGGCAGCCCACAGTGCAAAACCCTCTGATCCTGTCTGCGGCTGGTCCCACCTCATCAGTGAAATAGAATTTAAATGCATTGGTTTATCCATGCAAAGAATGGTGCTGATCTCTCTTGGGTATGTTTTTCTAGTAATAAAACAAACATCCCACGACACAAACTCACATCTGCTGTGGTGCAGAAGAGCACAAAGTAAAGCATTAAGAAAATATTCAAAAGTTGCTATGCAGCATACTGAGTATTTTATTCTTAAGTAAATTGAGGCTTTTCCCCTTTCAATAGTAGTTGAAATAGGAAAAATATATTGAAATCCCATAAATTTCAGACTCCCTTAAAGCTGTACTGCTTTGATCTTGCCACAAGTAATTCTACCTTGTGCAGTCACCCACCAGGGCTCTTTTTTAACGTGAAAGTGTTATTGCTTTAAAGTAAAAAGCATTAGAGACTATTGACTTTGCAATGGAGGAGACTACTCCCTTAAATTTGGCAGCCACATTTCTTTATGGTCTGGCAAGAAGAATATTGTCTTAACAAGCATGTGGCCCTGAAATTTAAGAATAATAATGAAGCTTTATAATATAAAATGGTGGTCTCAAGCTCAAATGTCCTTTTCCAGAATGAATCGGTAATTATTTTTACCAGATTTAGCAAATAATGTTGATAATCAAGACTCTGCGCAATAACCCCACAAGTAAATTGCTTCAGATGCAGCAGATGCAGTGATGGCTTTTCCACAAATCTGTCTTCCGGTTGTAACAATTTCACACGTACCCAAGCCATTTTCTGTGGTCAGGTTGAGCCAATGCAGAAGGGCTGGTAATTCGAAGTTAAAGCCCCTTCTCTAACTCATAGGGCTGTATTTTCTCCTATCCAAAATTAATGGTGTGTTAAGAACAAAGGGTCAGTCTTGGATTTGGCTTTCCTGGATGCTGGTGGTTTGTGGCATAAACTTCACATGACCAGAAGCATTTTCTATATGGGTATATCCAGAATTCAGTGTTTGCAATCGCTGTAATCTATCCTATCTGGGGAAAAGAGGTTTTCCTTTCACCATTTTTCTCCCCTAGAACTACTACAATATATTTTTTTTTTCCACATACGTGATATGATTTCTATTCTTGTCTTTGCAAGGAGACAAGCATCTAACCTCAGAATCACGTGTTCCTAGTCAAGTTACCCTCAAAAAGTCCATTTTTAAAAATATCCTCTAGAATTAGAAAGATTGGTTCTCTCACAGATGTCTTCTTTCTCACAGCAGCTGCTCTCAATGAAGCAAAATTTTCCAAGCAATAGAATTGCACTGAAAGAGCTCCTGGTTTGAGGCCTTGCCAGCTACACTGCAGAGCATAGGACCTTGGTGGCCTTAAAAACTGAGAGATGGCACCATCAGCCCCATCTTTTCTTACTACTGTATAAACACCCCAATGAACAGTGAGAGCATTTTTTTTCCACAGTGGACAAAATTCCTTTGATTTTTGAACAACTACCATTAATTTTGGACTATTTCCTTCACTACTTTGATTATAATTTTATCAAAAAGTTAGTAACAGCTGTAGCACATTTCAACAAAAAGCCCATCCATGATTTTCCGATTTTACAGGTCTTCCCAGCAGACTCCAGGGGCCAGGGAAGGCAACAAGTAACAGCCACTTCTGCGCAACAAAAATGAATCAGAAGTGGAGTGTGCAGCAAAGGATCGGGAAGATCTTTTCCCAGTTCCCCAGGAGAAATCCTACAGCTTACAGCTCAGCAACCCTGTGTTTGACAGATTAGCCTTTTCCCACTGATGCTGGATTTCATGTTCGCCAAATTAGTTTTTCCTTCCTCTTATTTTCTGACAGAAAATTATGACACCTTGCCTTAACATAATACATAAAAACAAGACTTAGTGCATTGAAGCTCGATTTCTTTTAAAATTCCCAGAATACATTGTTCCCAAATAAATACACTGTGCTGTTTAATACATTGTGCTGTTTAATGTAGCTCCTCCCAAATGTTTCCCTTGCATTCCTTGGGCGAAGTGAAGCATTACAGCCACAGCTATGCAACACCACAATTTTGAAATTTCCTAAAATCTTCACATTCTCCTCGCTCTCTCAGAAAAGCTTCAACGAAACAGATAGGAACCGAACTGAGAGACTTGAGCTTGTAACTGCTGTCAACAGCAGACAATACCAGGCAGATGTTAACAAAGATGAACAGAATACCCTAATAAAAGTGAAAATGGAGCGCAGAAAGCTAGACCAAACTCAGCAATTTACATTCAAAAGAATGTCAAAACAGAGATCAAATTTCACGTAGTTCATAAGATAAATCTCTATGGAGGAAAGAGGTTTCTTTGAGCACTGACCCAGCCAGGTCTGAAGACCACTGCTCGATCTAGAAACCAGTCTCCTCATGGTTATCAAGACAGTTACTTAAGGACTAAACCATAGACGTGAAACCCAAGCTAGAAGGATCAATATTCTCGTGTGGGACTTTATGCAAGTGTCTGGCTGTCGAAGCGAAGCACTATGTTTCAATGCCATCTTTCATAAAAGCATGGGAAGGGATTTATCACAGTCTGCACGGGTTATATTTCACCAGGTAAAGTCGCAAAGCGTCAGAGATGCATGCGATCCATGCATGCGATCCATGCATGCAATCCATGGATGCAATCCATGGCGCCCAAGTTGAGCTCTGTTCAAAGGACCGTGTCGAAGAGGCACCTGATTGCAAGCTGGGCCAGGCAGACCTCCTCCCCCAGAAGTTGGGGGTGCAACAGTAAATTAAAGTCGATTCTGACACACATTTCAAGACCGTCTGTGTCAGGCAGCTACGGAAAGAGGAAGGCCACTTCCTATTACCTGCAGCAGAGAGGCTCGGGGCTCCCACCGGACACCTTCGGAGACTCCAGCGCATTCAACAGGGCAACTGCGTTCACCAAGAGACTCCATTTGCCCATTTCAGAGAAAAGGTTTCAACCACAGCATGTCCCCAAAATACTGACCCAAAGTATATTACCTATTCTGAAATCAGTCCCCGCTTCTTTAAACACGAATCCTAACCTGGAGACTGAACTTCCTTGCAAAAAATCTCCTGTTGAAATAGATATTTCAACACAGACACTCTCTTGCAAGATGGCTTTTTTCCAAAGGAATATTTGCTTTACTTAAAATAGCTTAACTTTCAAAACATTAAGCATCATCAAAATATTATTTTGGAGCAGTGTTAATTTTGAAGAGGAAAACAGCTTAAATAATAAGCTTTTTTTTTTGGTGATACATGCATATTGCTTAATGTTTTCATGACCGTCAGACAGGCAGCATTCTTGACTCTACATTTCAACATCCCACAAACCTGCTCTTAAGCAGTTTATGCTAAACTACATACAGTGGGAAGAAAGGGGAATGGGAACTGAGATTACCAGAAGCTGTCATGATCTGTCAGGGCACAAGCATATGAGAAAGTTGTTTGAAGTCTAAGTGTCTGTTACTCTGTTCGATTTGCCTCTGCTTTAAAAAGAAATTTTAAAACTGATAATCAAAAGAAAAACAGATGGCAATGTGTCCACTATAAACTGTCACAACATTTTATGTTTTTCAGTACTTCCTACTTTTCGGGTAGCCTTGTCTGTAAACCTAGCATTCCAGGCAGTCTTGAATTTGCCTGAGATCAGTCTAGTGGAGTTGCAGCTATTTGAATCCATTTCTTCTTTACAGCCCGGTCAGCCTCACCTCCATCCCTGTAAAGGGGATGGAGCAGCTCATCCTAGAGACCATCTCTAGGTATGTCAGGGAAAAGAAGGTGATCAGGACTAGTCAGCATGGATTCACCAAGTTGTGTTTGACGATCCTGATAGCCCTCTACGATGAGGTGACTGGCTGGATGGACAGTGGGAGAGCCGTGCATGTTCTCTACCTCGACTTCAGCAAGGCTTTCAACACAGTCTCCCATAACATCCTCATAGGAAAGCTCAGGAAGTGTGGATTAGAGGAGTGGACAGTGAAGTGGATTGAGGACTGGCTGGATGGCAGAGACCAGAGGGTGGTGATAAATGGGGCTGAGCCTAATTGGAGGCCTGTGGCCAGTGGTGTCCAACAAGGGTCAGTACTGGGCCTAGTGCTCTTCAACTTGTTCATCAATGACTTGGACAAGGGCACAGAGGGCACCCTCAGCAAGTTTGCAGATGACACCAAGCTGGGAGGAGTGGCTGACACTCCTGAGGGCTGTGCTGCCATTCAGAGAGACCTAGACAGGATGGCGAGTTGGGCAGAGAGCAACCTCATGAGGTTCAACACAGACAACACAGTGCATGGTCCTGCACCTGGGCAGGAATAACCCCAGACACCACTACAGATTAGGGGTTGACCTGCTGGAAAGGAGCTCCACAGAGAGGGGTTTGGGAGTCCTGGTTGACAACAGGTTAACCATGAGTCAGCAATGTGCCCTTGTGACCAAGGCCAATGGGATCCTGGCCTGCATCAGGAGGAGCGCTGAGAGCAGGTCGAGGGAGGTGGTCCTCCCCTTCCCACTCAGCTCTGATGAGGCCAAACCTGAAATACCGTGTGCAGTTCTGGGCTCCCCAGTCCAGGAAGGGCATTGAGCTTCTTGAGAGGGTCCAGTGGAGAGCCATAAAGATGATTAAGGGACTGGAGCATCTATCAGATGAGGAAAGACTAAGCAAGCTGGGACTGTAATCTGGAGAAGACTAAGAGGAGATTTGATCAACATGTTCAAGTACCTGGGGGGTAAATGTAGGGCGGATGGGGCCAGGCTCTTCTCTGTGATGGCCAGTGACAGGACAAGGGGTAATGGGCGTAAGTTGAAACACAGGAAGTTCCATCTCCATATGAGGAAGAACTTCTTCACTGTGAGGGTGACAGAGCCCTGGAACAGGCTGCCCAGAGAGGCTGTGGAGTCTCCTTCTCTGGAGATCTTCAAAACCTGCCTGGATGCCACCCTGTGCCACGTGCTCTGAGTGTTCCTGCTTGTGCAGGGGGGTTGAACTAGACGATCTCTAGAGGTCCCTTCCAACCTTAGGCATTCTGAAGTTCTGTGATTCTTCTTCCCTTAAAAATGCTAGTGGTGGTGGTAGAAGCTTTTTATATTATTATAGCATTGCTCCAATGGCTAGTCCAAACTGATTGGAAAAGCCCTTCAAAACAAGCAGTGGATCATATAGCAAACTTCCTTT